CGCCATAGCCAGACTGATAAACAAACACAGACCGGAAGGTAACTTTGGGCCAGGCGCGTGCGCCCGATGAAACCGTCTATAGTAGTCATATGCTTTGTTACAAGTATTCCATCATTATGTAAAATTGTTAGACAATGGTTTCAAAGCAAAAACAACAACAAAAATTCTAATCAAACCTTTCCTACATCTCTGCCCGAATTGAACCCATGACCTCCAGTTATGGATGGGTGATTGAATGCATATATTTATGCAGACATTTCACCCACCCATGTTGTTTCAAAGCTCCATCATACTCTTTTAGCTTTTACATTTGCCACTATATGAAATATCCCCTAATTGTATTTACTCTAGCTTGAGATAAATAACCAATCTAATAATAAAAGTTATTCAAATTCCGTGGAGATCATAAGTCAAATATAATGGTGATTTTATAAATACTGTGTTTTTATATTACCAGAATGGTTGAAGAACATGTTGAAAAAAGTAAATCCAGCTTGAGGGGTCAGACACCACATGTTCGAGGAAGAAAAACGCTCCTCCCTAAAGAAAAAAAAATTATAACAAACGTTTCGTTTAAAATATTCCAGCATTTCTAAACAGCAGCCTAATCTGTATGGTGACATCAGCCCTAAAACAAACGCTAATGGGTTAATCGCAGCAAACGGCGATCTACATGTAGTTAAGTAATGCTGTCACCTTTCATCTCAAATAAACTTCATGTAATCAATAATTACTCTTTGATGGAAAACGGCTTGGGAGAGATAAGAGACAGTTTATGAACTATCAAAGCATATCGGAGTTCAACCCCCTATAAGTACTGGCTGCCATAAACTTACAGGCCTCAGAACTCTCTTTGCTTCTCGCAGAACCTTCGGCGTATCCTGGACTGAGCACAGAACCAGCGTGCACACCACAACATCCACGGAGTTGTCCTCCACCGCCTCTAGATTCTCCCCTGACGCCACTCTGAAGCTGTCATAAACGAGGTGGTCGTTCTTGGTCATACTTTTCTTCAGGTACTTTTGGAAATGCGGGTTGGGGTCGATGCATGTGATCCTGCAGCCCGTCGGGTAGTGCTCGAAGTTCGCCCCGGATCCGCAGCCCAGCTCCAGGATGCGCAGAGAG